GGTGGCGGCGTTAGTTAGGTACCTAGATACAGGATGCTCCTCTTGTTACTGCCAGACCCTATTTTAGTTTTCACCCCAAGAGAAGGGAGAACATTATTGAAAACGCATATGAGTTTAACTTTTCCAGCTCTTTATAAATTCTCTCTGTTTGTCCCCTTGTCTGAAGTGTAGCTGATAAAGCTTCTGTCCCCTTCTGTGGGCTGTTTCCTTTTGATGGTTTCTTTTTCTGTACAGAAACATTTTAAATCTTTTGTAGTCCCATATGCTGATCCCTGAGGCTAGTACCTGCACAGTTGGATTCTGTTCAGAAAGATCCCATCTCGCCTGTGTCCTGAAGCACATCTCCATGTTTTCTTCTAGCAGTTTCAGCATTTCAGGTCTTAAAACCAAGGTATTTAATGCATATCGAGTTCATTTTTATACAGGGTAAAAGATAGAGATCTAATTTTACTCCTGCAGGTGGATACCCATTTTGCCAGCACCGTTTGTTTTATAGGCTGCCATTTTCCCACTGCATGTTTTTGGCACCTGTGGTGATTAGGTGTGTTTAGACCCGTGTGTTTGAATGCTTGGCCTATAGGAAATGGTACTATCAGGAGGTATAGCCTTGTTGGAGTAGGTATGGCCTTGTTGGAGGAAGTGTGTCACTACAGAAGTGGGCTTTGAGATCTCATTGTATGCTCAAGCCACACCCAGTGGGACAGTTCACTTCCAGTTGCCTGTAGATGAAGATGTACAGTGCTCAGCTGCTTCTCCAGCATTGTGTCTGCATGTTGCTATGCTTCCTGCCGTGATGATAATGGACTAAACCCCTGAAACTGCGAGCCAGACCCAATTAAATGATTTCCTTTATAAAAGTTGCCATGATCATGGTGTCTCTTCACAGCAACACAGCAATAGAAACCCTAACTAAGATAGCACCTTTGACAAAATTAGGTGGCCATAGCTTTGTCAGTTTTTTTTTCTGGGTTCTCTATTCTCAAAGGAAGAAACATAAATGGCTGAATACTAAGTATTTAAAAAGTGCCCAACCTCCCTTGTCACTGAGAAAACACACTAAGACTACCCTGAGCGATCACATCATCCGGTCAGAATGGTGTTATCAATAAATGCAGGAGAGGATGTGGGGAAAGAGCATCTTTCCTTGGGTCTTTACCCAGATGGAGAAGGGAAATTGGATTTGGAGGTGGGGCAAGGAGAGAGGAAGTGCTTGCTGGGAGTTTAAGGAGTTTCCAGTCTGAGACAGCCAAATGCACAGGTCGGATTTGCCCTGGTTTAGGCTTTGGAAACTGGGCAGACTTGCTGCTGGTCTCAGTGTTCGGGTGCCATTTCCAGCCTGTGGAATTATTGCCTGATAAGCCTGGTAACTGAGTATCTAGTCCTAGGTTGTCCCCAACTGCCTGCCCAACCTTGGGCTGTTCAAACAAGCTGTAAATGAAGCATTGGGGCAATAACTGATATGGAAGAGTCCCCAAAGCAACTTTAAAGACTTTTGACCTTTTTTTTTTTAAGTAATGGAAGTGGGACATAAAAAGGATGGGAAATTAAATTGGAAGTTCTTTCTATTTGAGAGCTCTGACTAGTGGTAAGTGATAGCGTTCCACCAGCCAAACCCCCCTTCTCCTTTAAGAAGACAGTCATTTTAACATGAACAGTATAAAGAATGCTGCCCTCCTTTCTCCAGTCACAAATAACAGCAAGGCCATCCCCTTAAATAGAAGTTTCTATTTTATGGCTCTTGAACATCCAATGCATCGTTATAGAAATATCAACGTGTTCTCCAAGTCTAAGCAGACATCACCACAGTGATGCAGTGTGGGAGCCCCTGCCTGCCGACTTCCTCCTGGCCTCACCTGAGTTTATGGCATGGCTGATTATTTCTTTGACCTATAATTTAGAAAATGATTTAAATTGACTTACATGTATAAATGTTGTTGAAACCTCAGTTGTCTACTAGCTGATTCCTTTTTGCAAACATTTCCACAGTGATATATTATTTATTATTTATTAAAGCTTGCCTGAAGATTCAAAAAAGCAAGGCAGCCTCAAGCTACACAGATCAGGAAGTGGTGATATACACCGTTAATCCCAGCAACCAGAAGCTAGGAGGTGGTGATACATGCCTATAATCTTAGGACTCAGGATTAAGAGATAGGCAGATCTCCCTGAGTTTAAGGCCACTCCTGATACATGAGACTGAATTCATCTGAAAGAGTAACAGATCACACCTTTAATCTCAACACTAGAGGGGTATAAAAGATAGAAGCAGGGTCTTCAGTATTAAGTAGGGGGCATTCATTCTGCAGCCACGCTGAGGAGAGGCAGTGGTCTGAGGCTTGGTGAAGAGCTAGTGGATTAGCCCTTTCAGCCTGAGATAGAGGTGAGAGATAGTGGCCAGCTGCTTTGCTTTTCTGATCAACAGCTCTAAGTTTGAACCCCAATATCAGTCTCTGGGTCTTTTATTTATCATGTTACAATTTCCTAAGAGTCAGAGAAGAATCCGTGTCCCCTCGTGGCAGTGAGGGCTGGCCTCTGAGTGTGTCTATGTCAGTAAGCATGCTCTTCAGGTCTTCTGTGCCATTGCTAACATCTTGTCTTAAATTTTTATTTTTATTTTGTGTACAAGTGTTTTGCTGTGTAAATGTCTGTGCACCACGTGTATGCATTGCCTGTGGAGGCCAGAAGAGGACATCAGATCCTCTAGAAATAGAGTTAATGAAGCTTGAGAGATACCTTGTGGGTACTGGGAATCAAATCTACATCCTCTGGAAGAGCAGCCATGCTCTTAGCAACTGAACTATCCCTCTGGCCCCATTACGAAAACTTTAAATTTGCCACTTACCAATGATGGAGCAAGCTATATTTAAATCCCATGCTAAGAAGACATAGCCAGTGGTTTAACTTTGTAGCGCTTCTTATACTTCTAGTTCGTAGCTGCATACTAGGAAAACTTTTATTTTTCCTTGAGATTTGAAGTTTTATCATCAGGTAATAACTCCTTATCCCTAATAATGGACTTTTAGATGATGGGGAATGGCTGTAGCTGGGCAGAATCAGGATATAAGCAGGGACAAACAGGAAATCGCTCTCTTCTCTGCAGTGACGCTGAGCAGCCATCATGTAGCAGACAAAGGAGTTGCAGGTCTTGCATACGCCAGTAAGATAAGACCACATGGAAATATTTAGATGAATAGAAATGGCTTAATAATTAAGACAGAGCTAGCTAATAGAAGCTCAAGCCATCTGCCAACAACTTTATAACTAATATAAGTCTTGTGTGTTCATTTGGGGCTCAAGGGTTATGGGACCAGCCTGGACAGAAAGCTTGCATTACATTTAAAGGACTTTATTCATTTGTATGTGACGGTCTGCATATATTTGTGCACACCTGTATGTGCTCATGGAGGCCAGGAGGCTAGGAGAGGGCACCAGATGTTCTCCTCTATGGTTCCTCACCTATCCCTTTGAGGCAAGATCTCTCCCTAAACTCAAAGCCACCATGTCACAGTGATCTTACTGTCTTTAACCTCCTGGGGCTGGTGCACCCAGCTTCTTACTTGGGTACTGAAATCCAAACTGTGTTTCTCACATGATTGTTCAGCAACTGCTCTTAACCCCACCCACCTTCAGTGACTATTTTTCTAACTTAAAATCTGGCTTATGTCAATATGGCTACCTCAGATTTCATTTGGTGAGAATCTTATTGGTGTTTCCTTTAGTCCCTTATGTTTCAAAATTTATGTTTTAGGTGTGTCTCTTGCAGTTCCTAGCTCTTACTCTGTAGTTCTTACTCTGTAGTTGGTCTAATCTTTCTACTTTTACTGTGATTAGAATAAAAGATGGAATTACAGTCACAAATAAGATAACTCTGTAAGGAATATTAGCCTCAACAGGGCACCATGCCAACAGCTGCATTCAAGAATCTACCTGATAGAGCAGAAAGGATGCATGTGTGTGTGGAGGGAGGGACCCTAAGGTCACTTGTCCCGTGGGGGAAGTTTCGTGCTCCTGAACTGCATGCCTGTTTGTATGGAGCTCTTCTGTCTTTACCCCAGCCCTGTGCATAGACAGCTACTTGAGATACTAGAGCAGCAAAAGACAGGTCTTACTCATTCCTAACAACTCCTGATGGTTGTCATCCCCAGATGAGTCCAGATGTTATTGCTACAGAACGTGTAACATTCTGTGTCTGTGTGACTCAATGACTGATATTCAGGATGCCTTACAGTCCATAAGTCACTTCTAGGGCTTTTAAAAAGTGTGTATGAATGTTTTTCCTATATGCATGTAAAGGGTTCCTTATACTATGCCTGAAGAATAGCCTGTGTGTCCTCTCTATTTTTTTCTTAGACTGCATTATAACTTCTATGAAATTACATATTTTTACCACTTATTGGCCTCTTTGTGTCTTTACCCACCAAAAGCAATTTTTCTGGAGAAGATAAAAGATATATTTTAAATAGTGTCAAAACCAAGGATGGGCATGTAGCCTGCCTAGTCACATTGCTGCCTGTATACTCATACATTTTCACTGGTACAGTTCAGGCCAAGGAGAAAGTGTCGATGGAGAGCAGCTGTGCTATGCTGCTTGGATTTTAGACTTCCAGTCTATGAACTATATAATCTGCCTTTTCAACATAAGCAGCCTTTTGTGGGTTATCATCCCAACGAAACACCAACAGATCCATTGTGCGCACGCACACACCACACACACACACACACACACACACACACACGGATGAAGGCAAGAATATGCCTCATGTGTTTTCTGCTGTGTTCAAGTTTCTGAAAGAGTATTTGGGATGCAATCAGCCTGAACACTCAAGCGTTACTTGGTGACCATTGTGGAATGCTGAGGGTGAGATGCTCTATGTTAGCTTCTTTCCCCCCCCCCCCTGAGTGCCAGGGTTACATTGTTTGTATAGCCACAAATTTTAAAGTGATTTTCCTGCAGGTGGTCTCTTTGTGCGACTTGTAATCTTTCCTACCTTTTTTGGCAGATCAGCCATGCAAAAGCTCGGAACGGAAGTGTTTGAGGAGGTCTACGATTACCTCAGGAGAGCAAGGCATCAGAAGGCCTGTGAAGCAGAGGTCCGGGAGCACCTGGAGACGGTGGTTCCTCGGGCCAGTGACTGCTTTGAAGTTGACCAGCTCCTCTACTTTGAGGAACAGCTGCTGACCACAGAGGGAAAAGAGTCCACTCTCCAGAACCTTCGCTGTGATGCTGCCCACAAAGAAGCACATACATTTCTGTGACAATCCATGAGCTTTACACTCTGGACTGCACTGTGGGAAACAAGTGCACAGCTGGAGCTTCCATCTTTACCTCCAGCTCCTGGTCAGAAGTTAGGATGTTTATGGAGATATCTATGTCTGTGTCTGTGCACTCAGCTGGCTGATGGTGCCTGAAGACACAGGTCCAGGTCATAGATGAAGTCTGGCATCCTGAAAGGCTTGCCTCCCTGCCTTCAGCCCTCCCTCTGGGTATCCAGAGGAGGAAAAGCACTCTGACGACACAGGAGCTCTGGACTGTGTCCATTCAGGGCATGCTCTATGCCCAACCACCACGATCTCCAGAAACTATGGCCAACCTGCTTGTGATGGACACAGGACACCGACCTGGACATTGACCTGCTAATCTCCAGTGATGGATTTTTGATCAACATATTTTTTTTCTTTCTATCACTGACATGCAAGCAGTATATAAATAATGGCTTGGAATGAAAATCCCAGAAGTGACTCCATTCTATGATTTATTCCCAAAACTCACTCGTGGAGCAATAAAGGCTTTTATTAATAATGAATTTCATTATTATAAAACAAATCACCTATTTTGTCTTTTCTTTTTTTATTTACTTACATATTTTTATGTATGAGTGCTCTGCATGTATATTTGCAGGCCAGAAGAGGGCACCAGATCTCACTACAGATGGTTGTGAGCCACCATGTGGGTACTGGGAATTGAACTCAGGACCTCTGGAAGAGCAGTCAGTGCCCTTAACCTCTGAGCCATCTCTCCAGCCCCTTACAACAATATATTGTCAAATGTAACACATCTATGTAAAGGTAATGTTTACTTTGTTTTGTTTGCTATTTGTTGCTACTAATAACATTTAAAAATTTACACATGGATGAGGTATTAGTTGGTGTTTTAAAGACTTATTTATTTTTATTTTATATATTTGAATGTTTTTTCTGCATGTATGTATGCTGTGGAACTGTAAGCTGAAATAAACCCATTCCTCCCCAAGTTGAGTTTGGTTTTACCCTAACTAAAACAACATCACCCCCACTACCTCTCTCCAACTCCTCCTTGAGCACCCCACCCCATCACTCTCCAAACTCCATGTCCTTATTTTTTGTGTTGGTCATAATTTTTACTCAGAGGAGAGGACAGTTTGTATGGTAGCAAGGAAGAGACCTCCCCTCAGGAAGAATTCTCTGGATACACCAGGTCCTTGGATCACCTACCAGATGACAAACTGGTCAGAAGAGGAGGGGCTGTAAAAGAAGCCAGGTTATGAGTGTGTCTATTCTCCTTGCTGATGGTCATTATCATATCAAAACAGGAAAATGCTTGTGTGAGTTGCTGGGTCTGAGAGGCATTCAAAATGCGCCCAGAGAACAGTGTCTTACATTTTAGAACATGTTTCTAAGAAGATTGGTGCAGAGGGATAATATCCTACTCTCTGGAGATTTGTGTTTTTGACACACCAGCCTTGGAAGAAAAGAGAGCCAGAGTAATGGGGGTTGGGAGCATAGCCCCTTAAAGATCACTGGAGTTTTCCTTCCCTTTAGCTCACTGGTGTAGGAGTGAGGGGCAAGATTTGACCTGACTTGAAAAAGAGTGTCTGTCATTACATCTTTCTTCTTCAGCAATACAGTCTTAATTTGGGGTTACTTCAGTGTGAATAACTAATAATAATAATCAATGAAAGATGACAGATATGAAGCAGCCACAGAGAGAGCTTCTCTCTCTCTCTCTCTCTCTCTCTCTCTCTCTCTCTCTCTCTCTGTCACATACATTCTGCCTTCAACATATACAGAAGAAGAGGGATGAAAGTTAATTATTTAATGGCTTCAAGGCTGGAGCTGGAAAAAAAATGTCCTAGGTCTTATAAGAATCCAGCCATTGCCCTGGGCTCAGCATAAAAGATGCCCACACATTAAACTATAGCGCATGGGTGAAGAGATTGCAGTCTTCCTTCAGATGAGACATTAACTAGGGTGTCAGAAGAATGGAAGACCAGGCTGCTGGGAGAGTAAAAGAGAAAATGAAGCAAAGAGCTCTCTCTCTGTGTGTGTGTGTGTGTGTGTGTGTGTGTGTGTGTGTGTGTTGGTGAAACAGGGTTAGATTCACAGTAAAGAAGCAATGTTTGAAAATAGGTCTGCCTGCCATAATCTGTGTGAGGGAGAAGGTGAACACCAGATGGTGTGGCTCCTAGACCTTCTGCCATCATTGTGACCTACAGCGAATCATTTCCTCCAAATCTGTTTCTTGCTACCTCTGACTACCACTGAGGAGAATGCAGCTGATTGGTGGAATCATGGGAAATTGCCATCATGGTGTGTAGCAGTACTTCCGATGGCCGCAAAGGTTCTTGGTGTTGAAGGAAGAGAAGAACCACTGACTGTGTGCTTAGCCTACTTGAACTTCTGTCATTGAGCCTGCATGCACGAGCATCCCTTCAGTTCTAAGGTTCTCCCATTTCCATGATGGCTGCCCTGCAGATAAGAGTGAATGGCTGGCTCCTAGGACCAGCTTTCCCTTCCCACCCACTTCACCTTGATAAGCTGCCAGGATAGCCTCAAAACAATCATCCTGGGTGGGGGCACCTCAGTTCTTCCCCAATTTCAGAAAATAGTTCATAAATATGGCTCAACAAATAATTACTGTATTGGTAACTATTTACTGGGAATACAGTGGCCATTAGAATTTAGGTAGGACTGCAGCAAAACCTGTTGAAATTTAATCCTTGTGAGATGTAAAAAGTGAGACTGGGCAGACCTTTAAGAGGTGATTGGGTCAAAATTTTCTGCCTGCCTGGAGGATGCAGTCATTAGTTCATGGGTGATCTTTCTGTTATAAAACATGGCTCCTCTGGCCATGTGATGACTGTGCCACCTGGGGATTCTTCAGAGTCTCCACCAGCAAGAAGGTGATCAAGATCACTAGATCTGCCCCCCTTAACCTTTGACCTTCCAGTCTCTAGAACTGTAGTGTGAGCAATTCTTTGTTCTTTGTAAATGATCTGGTCTGTGGATACTAATACTGTCTGTTATAACAAGAGGAGACAGACTAAGACCTGCAGAATGGACAAATGGACTCCAAATTAGTCTGGCAGGCAGTCCTTCAACAGCTAGAAACATTTTCGTTGATCAGAAATGTGACTTTTTTACCACTCTGATCGATGGAGTTGTCTGGTTGACCCCTCCCTATACTCCCTGGCTGTAGCCTTGTAACTTTAAGACTGTTTCTCAGTGCTTTGGCTCTGAGTTTTGCCATGGAGCCTGAATATGGTCTGTCAACATGCTGTCATCTCCAGCCTGTCCACCTATTATGTGACACACGAGCATGGGACTTGGAGCAGAGTCCTCCTGACACAGGCCAGCCTCTGTACAATAAAGTACAACCATTCATACAATCCACAAACTCCTGAGCAAGAAACCGATGTTTATCACTGTATGCTACTCAGGGTTTGAGCTTGATCCTCACATATCACCATGGCAATAAACTAACCTTGTGGCATTCTGTCTTTTCCCTGACACTCAAATCTCCAGGCTTTATCTGAGGCAGGGGCATTGATTATTACAAATTAAGAGGGGTGTCTCAAATAGACTGTGGCTTCTTACAAAAAAAACCAGATGCTCCTCTTCAGAAGAGCCCAGGCAAAGTGTGAGGCCCGTCTTTGTGGCTTTCATATCACAAGAGAGGAAGTGGAATCTACTGGAGCCATGTCTTCCACAGATGGGGTCTGCTTCTTTGTATTCCAGCTGAATACACATTGAGTTTACACCTTATACTAGGTGCTAAGTTTAGGCATGCATTAATGTGTGTGTCATGGAGAGACTCCCACTCTGTAGTCCATATTGCCCTGGGATGCTCCATGTCCAGGCTGACCTCAAACTTTTAGCAGTCGTCCTGCCTCGGGCTCCCAAGTCCTGTATTGTGGGTTTGAACTACCACTTGTGGCTTTGCTACTTTTAAAGTTGAATAAAGGTTCTTTAGCAGTGACCACTGCTGAAGACAACACTGGAGTTTGATGATTTCCCTTTGGATAGAACAGCTACAAAGAAGCTTAGTCTGTAAAGGATCCCAAGCAAATAACAGAACTAAATAAAGTATGTGACTAAGAGCTGAGAATGCTAAAACATTGAAGCTAAATTATAATCTTCCCATTTTTAAGCAACACAAATGAGCCGGGCTTATTTGGTGGCGCACACCTTTAATCCCAGCACTCGGGAGGCAGAGGCAGGCGGATCTCTGTGAGTTTGAGGCCAGCCTAGTCTACAGAGCAAGTGCCAGGATAGGCTCCAAAGCCACAGTGAATCCCTGTCTCGAAAAAAACCAAAAACAAAAAAAGAAAAGAAATACAAATGAATATATTTGCAAGGCAGGGGAGAGACCAGGATGGTCTACATTGTGGTGGATCAGAGCTGGAAACATTAGTGTGAAATTCTGTTCCGATTAATATAGGTGCAGATGCTTACACATGAAAATATTTACATATAGAGAAGGAGGTGGGAGAGATCAGGGTCACTGAACACACATAATCCCTTCTTCTCCCAGATGAGGGGGACCTAGAGCTTACAACACAGTCACATTCTATCTAGACAATCTTGGTGTCCAGCACAGTTTCCTAGTAAGAACCAACAGCCCTCTGATAGGAAATAGCATGATGAAGTAAGGAAGAGAGAGCATGGTGTAGCTGGTTGGGCACAAGAGTTGAGGAGAAGGGAGGGACAGCAGCCACAGGAGCCGAGGAATTAGGTTAATGGGAGAACAAAGGAAGCCTGTGGATGGACTGATCCAGTGAATGACAAAGTACAGCAACATTGAGCCTGCGGTCACAGAAGAGCTTTCCACTTGTATCTAGAGAAGTTAGATCTCCTTTGTGGCATGACCTGTAACAGCCCGATCTACCTTCACTAGCACTGGATACTTGTAGACACAAATCCAAACAGGCTGTGGAGAAGGCTTCTCGAGATATGATCCCTGGTCCCAGGCACTTGCACTAAATTGCCATTTTACACCTGCAGAAACCTGGGAAGGGGCAAAAGGTAGAACCCGTGTGTGTGTGTGTGTGTGTGTGTGTGTGTGTGTCTGTGTCTGTGTGTCTGTGTCTGTGTCTGTGTCTATGCCCCCCTGTGCGTGTGTGTGTGAGAGAGGGGGAGGGGAAGGAGAGGAAAGGGAAAAGGGGAGAGGGGAGAGAGAGACCCTAGCAAATCTGCTGTGTCACCCTGGCATGTTAACACAGGACCATATGAATACCTTCAAAGCAGGGTATCTAGCAGGGCCTAAGTCCTGACGGTTGTTATCTTAGTCCATCACCACTGCTGCAGCACAATGGCTTGAGACTGGGAAGAGCCAACTACCATGACTGTTTTCTCATACTCTGAGGATTGGCAAGTCCAAGATCAAGGGGCAGAAGGTTTGTCTGATGAGGGCCCAGGTCCTGGCCTATTGTGTTGTTGACACATCAGAAGAGGCAGGAGGGGACTCTGGGTCTCTTTTATAAGGTCACAAATCCTACTCATTCTTCCCAACTCCAACCCACGTTTTCTAGTTCTATCAAAACCAAACCTGAGGTGGCTCTCTCAACATCCTGTTCCTTCAGCTATCAGAATTCCTTGGTAACCTGATCTTGCCCAAGAGAGACAACCTGAGACTCTAAGCTTTGCCACCCTCCTAACTATGACTTAGGACACCAGCCACACCTTTAGCCACGCCCTGGTCCAGGGCCCAATCCTGCAGAAACTTCCAGCTTCCTTAGGCCTTTAGGCCTTCTCCACTGCCTGGCCTAAAAGCCCTAGCCTGATTGGCTGCTGTTCCTCTAGCAAAGCCTGCGCTGGTATTTCATTCTGCGCCTGGACCCTGCAGGCATTGGTGGTCTGGTATGAGAATCTCCTGCCAAACCACGTGTGTGGAGGAAAGCAAAGATCCATGGCCACGTCCAATAAGGTGGAATTGGCGGAAGCGCTAGCCCTGGGGCCCCCCTGGCGGCATCTTTGTTACGCGATGCTATATGCTCCCAGCCCACAGGCGCTCTTCGGTGGCCGCATCCCATTACGCTATGCTGTGCTGGTAAGGAATAGCCACTCGCTGCCCTAGTTCTGTGTCCTTCCTTGGGGTCACCTCTCCATCTCCCAGCTAATACTCTCTTCTCCTCCCTCAGATGTACATGCGCTTTGATGGGCGACTGGGCTTCCCAGGTGGTTTTGTGGATGACCACAGCCCCAGCCTGGAGGACGGGCTGAACAAGGAACTGCTGAGGAAGTTGGGTGAAGGTGTGTCCACTTTCAGTATGGCAACCACCGACTACCGAAGCTCCCTCAGCGATGCCAGAGCGAAAGTGGTGGCCCACTTCTATGTCAAGTGTCTGACACTAGAGCAGCTCCAGGCCGTAGAAACCAAAGCACCACTAGCCAAGGAATACGGGCTGGAGGTGGGGCCAGCCTGGGAACTCTTACCCCTACCTTCCTTCTCTGTGGTCCCTTTGCAAAGAAAGGCCCCTTGGGAGGTCTTGGTCGTCAGACATTGTGCCCTTCCCAGTGTCTAGGACTAGTCAAACCCTGAACATGTTCAGGCTGATCAATAATATCGTCTACACAGCACACACACACACACACACACACACACACACACACACACACGACTGGCCTCGGCAGAGGCTTTTCTAGAACACACTCACCCAAGTATGATAATGGTCAGGCATGACACCACAATAGCAGTTTGACTTTGGGCCCAGGGGAGCAGGGGACTGGGTGGGTACATGGAAGAGATGCTCTAATTCTGGCAAGTGCCAAACTCAGGGAGAGGAGAGGTGTAGGAAAGTGACCCCTGTGTTCACACTGGCAGTTCCCTAGTGAGAAAGCAACTTCTAGACTTCCCTCCGTCAACCCTCCTTATGAAGGCCTATGAATTTGCAATTCTCTTGAGTTCCCCGGCTGGAATAGAGCTGCTGATGTTCAGGGTTGTGCCTGCATCTGCTGTGTCTGGATTCAGGCCACAGGAAAGTGCTGTGGGAAGGATTCACATGGAGTAGGACACAGCATGTCTTGGGGTCCTTTGCCTGTACAGGGTTAGGCCCGCTGGGCCTCACTGAAGTATGAAGCCTTGGGACTTTGTTCTGCAGTGCTATCTGCTCTAGCAAGCTCACTGTAGTGAGAATTGTGTCTCATCCTGTCTCCTCCCCTTCACAGGTCTTGGGCCTGGTGCGGGTGCCACTGTATACTTTGCACGATGGTGTGGGAGGCCTGCCTGCCTTTCTGGAGAATTCCTTCATTGGCGCCACCAGGAACCAGCTACTGGAAACCCTCCAGAACTTGGAGATTCTGGATCCCCAAACTGTCTCAAACCTCAAGGAACGAATTGCTAAACATAAGCTTCCCTTAAGGTTGATGGAGACCTGAGATGAGGGACCTTGGTAGTAGGAGCACTGGGGAGAAGGGGAATGTTGTCTGGGCCTGAGAGATAACAGCCATTACCAGATTAAAAGGCAGAAGTGAAATGCAATGTGTTTTGAACAGAAGACCTTGCCCTGTGACATCAGAGACAAAATCCACAGCCCTTTGCAGGGGCCTGGCCATTTTAAGTCCCTCCCGATGCATGAGCACACAGACCCAGGGAACCCCAGGCTTGTACATGTACAATCTGTGGTGACACAGGCCTGGCACATTTGCCCTCATGTCTACTTTAACCAGGAACCATATCCCCTCCTCTCCTTGCTAAGCTTTCTTATAAAGCTGCCTTCTAGTGCCCAGCTCCATGTTCCCCAGAGGAGCAGAGGCAGGGGGTTTCCCCTTGCAAACGGCTTCTAAGGGTTACATGTCATCTGGAAACTCTCAGGTGGCGCTAGCTAGAGGGAAGTGACGTGTGTGTGTGTGTGTGTGTGTGTGTGTGTGTGTACATGTGTGTGCGTGTGTGTACGTGTGTGTGTGTGTATGTGTAAGTGTGTGTGTGTACGTGTGTGTGTCTGTGTGTGTGTACGTGTGTGTACGTGTGTGTGTACGTGTGTGTGTGTGTATGTGTAAGTGTGCGTGTGTGTGTGTACGTGTGTGTGTCTGTGTGTGTGTACGTGTGTCTGTGTGCCTGTGTGTCTGTGTGTGGACACACAGAACC